TCTCTATCCTAGCAGATGGCGGTTGTGATTGGTGACACTATTGAATACTTTTATACCCTGGAGAAAGCCCTGGCCTGAAGGCTGTAGCACCATTTCCACCATGATGTAAACCCATGCAGGGTGCTCTAGCATCCCCAAGTACACATTCTCCATTACACATAGAGCATACACGTAAAGAAAAACAAGAAAAACACATTTTCATAAAATAAAAAAGTAAATTTTTCTTTTTTTTGCATTGAAGCCAGTAAAGTATTGCACCCACAATCAGTGGATGGCGGGAGCAATGCTCTGGCTCTTTATATTTTTTTACTCGTCTCATAGTCACCTATTTGCAAGAGGTTGTACAGTAGTATGTTACAGAACGCCTGAATGTCTCTTTCTGTGAAGCCTAGGACCTGCCTACTCATACTAGTGTTTGATTTGGCTCCTACAAACATAGAGTGGATTTTCATTGGCCTGTTCCCCCATTTAGACCAACTTCCCTAAAGACTCTAAGGCTGCCACTAGAAGTTTGATAACTTTTGACTTCCCCCTTGATTCATTGCGACTGCCTTTAATGCATTTAACAATGTTCATTTACTAAACACTGCCATGTGCTTTTGTCACCAAATCTGAACTGCTGCATAATATAGTATAATATAATACAGTATAACCAGTTTACTATTTGTTTCCTTCCCCCTTTTCCTTCTCCTCTCCCTACTCTTTCCCATTCAATATTTGTTGGTTCTAATAGCTGTACTCCCATAGTCCCTACTGCACAGAGATAACCTGGGAGGTGTTCTATTTTTTGCCCCATGGGCCTTAGGGAGGTTGTACTGGTTATTGTAATTTTTCAATAAATAGAATTTAAAGAATACTGCATCAGACACATGCCACTAGATCATCCAAACAAGGCTTTGTGAGCAAATATTTTATTTGTGCTTAAGTAGCACTGGTCACAAACAATGAAAAAATGATACTGTCATAACAATCAAAACCAGTACATTTAAGACAAAATATTTAGAAGCTGCCTTCTACAATGACTATGACGGGGTATAGAGAAAGCAGACAATTCCCAGATGTTGATGCTTTTAGCTTGTAATTTCTAGAATACTCCACTAAAGTGATTTCCTTCTTTGTTCACTATTTCAGTTCCTCGTGAAAGTACCTATTCAAACCCTTTAAAAGCAGCCTAATAGGCCAGGGGATGCCATAGGTTTTATAGCTGGGTTCTTTCATTCACAGCAGTTACTGACACATTGAAAGAAGCCTGCAGACAAAAAGAACATATGCTTGTAAAAACGTTGGTTCAAACTGTACAATACAATTTGCAGGTAAGTACCAACAGTTCTCTCTTGTGGTGCAGAATAAAAGATATGTGTTTGTTTCATTTCTTTTAGTGTTCTTCATTTCCCCTGTAAATCTGGGAATTGCAGGACTCATATTTTCTGTGAAGATTCTCATTTATCCAGCTCATGGTAATGCTACTAACTACTACTAGCTATAAGTCAATCAAAAACATGGGACCATCAAACACAGTGGAGAGGCAGAACACAAGGAGTAATATAATCAATATGTATATGGTTGAGTACCAGAAAGACTCAGGTTTTTTTAACAAATGTTGCATCCCTGTGTTTTTCAAGCCCAACAATAGACTAAAGGAAGAACCTTGTGCAGTCAAAAGAACCAGCAGCCATATACATGTGAATTAACTTAATATATGCAGTGGAGGGTAGTAGGGATGCACCGATACCACTTTTTTAAGGCCGAGTACGAGTACTGATACTTTTTTTCAAGTACTAGGGTAGTGAGGAATACAAAGACCTGTACGTAGGGAAACAAAACAACCTCTCATCAAATGGATGGCCCAACATAGGAGAGGAAATTCTACAGGTGAAAAGTCTTTCAATCTTTTAAAGGACAGTGAGTTCCACATTTAGGACAGAGGGGGCAACTGGTGAACAAGAAACATGAAGGAGACCATTTTTGTCAAACTAGAACAACCAACCCTAAAGAGAGCTGGAGGCTTTAAACACCATCTGTCTTATACACATTATGCCATTTAAACATTCTTACTATGATGACTTGACAATTCACACCTACAGCCATTTGAATCAAAGGATTAATACCTGTGTAGATTTCCTAGGATGGGAATATGTAGTAGGAACAGGAGTTTCCCAACTTATACACCTTCCATCCTGTTCTAGGACAATTAACATCTGCCTTGACACATTCCATGGTGATTGCCTTAAGGTGACTATGTTACTTTGTGGATATAAATCAATAAAAAAGTAATTCATTGCAGTAATGCCCAAGTGAGTCTTAGGCTGTCCTCTGCCAGCAGAGGTTGCAGACTGCACAGACTCATACTCTGTCAGGCAGGAGAAAAAGGTCGACACCATCCTACCTTGGCGAGTGTGCATGACATCTCCCATGCATAGGTGCATGCTACCTGCCTTTGTGGGTGGGTCACTTAGTATGACCTAATTGCAGGCACATTACTGCTTCTCTGCTGGCCAGTACCAGATGTAATACTGCCAGCTGGTGTGCAGTGAAGGATGAAGGTGATGTATAATGTATAGTTCCAAAAAATGGGGGAAGGGTCAGGGAAATTCCAATTAAAGATTAGGCGTACATGGAAAAAGATGGCAGCGTGTATACGTTTTTGCAAATACAGCCAGCAAAAAAAAAAAAAAAATTCAAAAGCAACAGTAAATCAACTACAATAAAAAAAAATACTATCAACGTGTAATTAAATAAATTAACCAAAATAAACCCCCCAAAAAACACACCCTTGTAATACAGAAAAAAAGTATAAAGGGAGTAAACATAGAAAGGAAAGGTTATGAAGGAGAAGGTGGCCATTCACAGATGGTCTGTTACAGGGTTTGCAAAGCAATATGAGGTTTTCTAAAGGTAGAACTCCGGGCACGGACAAAATTAACCCTTGCAGTGGGGCTGCCCCCACACTGCAAGGGTTAAGTGCTCATTTTGGTCTAGGGCCAAAAATAAATATATACTCACCCGATTCATCCCTACCGTTTAGTTTTTCAGCAGTGCTTCTCACTCGCTACTGCTTACCATATAGCCATCTTTCTCTGGTTTTGCACCATACCATGCAACTCTATAATGAAAGCTGTGCACTGTACGGGTCAGATAAAAAGAAAAGCAGCTGGGTGTGACTACAATAAACAGAGTCTATTTTAACAAACAAAATAGAATACTACAACTACATTGCATATGGAGTGACTATAAGAATTGAAGTAGCAATAAACTCAAACTTTTTTTTCAAAAATGAATCCAGATGAAACTAAATTTATATCGTCCACCAAAGTATTTCTTTATATATCCACCCAAGCACTTACAGATGTTTCTGAACAGCTCGATCCAACTCTCTCAGCTCGGTTTCCCCGAACTTCCTCTCCAGTAGAAGATCACAAGGGACAGAGCAGCTTCCAGCAACTATTTATCAACTAGCTTGGAAAAAGGAGCAGAGGATTGGCTTGCTTTGCTGTGTGTTTGTGGAGATGCACACTGCTTACTAGCACACACCAGTAGGAATGCACCAAAATATTTCTGCTGAAAATGGTACTATGGGCAAAATGTCGATAGTACCATAACAGCTGAGAATTCAGTGCATCCCTAGATTCTCTCCTCCCCACTGGACACTGGTCTGCCCCCCCTCCAATTCCTGCTGCTCTCCCCTGCCTGTGTCAGCAGAGGAGATCCAAGGGGACACAGAGGACCCAGCTGCCGCCACAGAGTGGGGAGAGCTGCTTTCAGGAGGCTGAGCGAGGTGAGAGGAGACAGTACTCAGGATTCCAAGTGGGGCGGAGAGAGCTGTCACAGGAGGCCGAGCTCGCCTCCCGCTCCGCTTCCTGTGGCAGGCGAGCCAGGATGGAGAGTGGGTTACAAGCACTCAGTGATCAGAAATCATCGCTGAGTGTTTGTAAATATAACTGAGGACATATTATGCTTACTGTGTCCCCAGCTATGAATGAGCAGGAAGTGCTACATATTACTTCCAGTTCATTCATGATTTTGGACATAGTAACTCATACTGTCGCCACAGTTTATGAATGGACAGGAGCACTCAGTATAGAGGCGTCCTGGTAATTCATAACAGGGGCTGCAGAAAAAGAGATTTAGGACTCTATGTCCTCAGTCTCCTTTTCTAATTTAAAAGGGAAATATTTACTACCTTAACGTAGATAGCCAGTGTTTTCAATTTTGCACATTTTCTTGTTATGTTACTATGCTGGACATCCTCTCTCAACATCAATGTTCCAGAAAGAAGCATATCAAGGATTTAAAACACTTTCTTACTTGATGACCATGGGCTTGCGTAATTAGAATGAGGAAGTCTTGGGCCTGAATGATTACAGCTTACGAAGAGTTTTTGATAAGCAGGTTTGGGCATTTCCAGAAGACCATGTTACTGGGTACAAGAAACTATTACATAGTGGAGTAACCTAGTGTACTGAAGCAAATACAGGCTGAAAGCAAGGCATTGGACGGGGGGTGAGATGGCACCTCTGCATTGGGTGCTAGATGACTTTGCCCTGGTATGGACAGAATTCATTCTTTCTTTGAGATTTGACAGCAGTACATCCTATGATTAAGAGAAGGTTCCTACAAAAATCTAGTTACAGGTAGCATTGGCTTGGGGGGCGGGTAATCAATTGCAGCTTTCATTCAGAACTACAATATCTCTGCATGCACTATAGAGTAATGCGCTGGGGGCTGATGAGAGCGGGGGTTGCTAAGAAGTACATGGGGAGAAAGAGAGAAGTGATGGACAAGAGCAGATGGTATTAACGAAGTTGAAGCTTGAGGAGATATTACTCCTATAACGAAGAGGTCCCCCCCCCCCATCCTGCCAGGTAGGCTAAAGACAAGATGGTGTTCCCAAGACATCAAATTATGGAAATAAAGCTGCATTTCTTATATGCAATTCAAGCATGACTTTTCAGCTGTGACTGGAACCTACTTGTAAAAACAAAATGCAATAAACCACCATGTGTATTTAAAGAAATTCGGTTTTATTAAATATCTGTGTGACCAGAATACATCTGGCATTCCTTTTTAAAGCTTAGATGAGGGAGGAGGAACCCATTCCTCTATCTTCTTGCGAGTTGTAGAGTATGGTACATACTGTCCTGGAGTGGCACTCAGGTTGAATTGGTGAGTCTCCCATATATATTTATGATCAGCAGGAGGGTGAGTGGTAGGAGGATTTTCTGTCATGCAATGCAGCCAGCGATGCCTGGAAAAAAGACAAAATGCAATTTCACTTCATATTGGTATAGAAATACATGTAGTGCTTAAAACCCCTGTAACAGTTATTGGTCAGTGTAATGGAAAAAAAAAAAATACAGAAATATATTTGAGACTTTGTTTAACCTATAGCTACGTCACGGTTTTCGGTTTTAAATAGTGGACTGACAGACCTATTTACAGTAAACATTACTAGTAAAGAATTATACGAAAAGAAAAACATAGGTGGCTGAATTATCAGTGCATGATAGTTAGTGTGCATGATTCATTAAAATGTATGAAGGAAAATTTGCATTTGTTGGGTTAATTCAAGCACATGAGAGCTGACTGCTCTTATTAAACCAATAGCAGTATTTTGAAAAGACGTCCGCAGAATTTTCATGTTTTTATGAAAGAGAAGATGCAAACCTTAAAAAAAATAAATAAAAAAAAACCACCAACTATAATTGTTCTAAACAAATATATTTCTCAATATATATTAATTCAGCAAGGCACATTTAATACATGACAAAGGATTCCCAGAGCAGCAAGGATAGCTAAAGACAGCATAAGATGACTCCTTCTAACACATATTGAAAGCTTAGAGGGAGCCCTACAGAACGCTCTGAATGATTAAATTCTGCTCTAACTGTAAACAATCAGGCACCGCATCCACAAGGACAGAAATAGCGTCCTTGAGATTGGAAGAGATGTCACGAGTGCACTGAACTGGGGGGACTCGCATGCACTGTGGTCTGAGGACTCCAATAGGTCAGACATTTTCCCCATAAAGTCTATTATTATTATGGTAAACTCCTCTCTGGACAGCACGTTAGAGGAGGGTTCCCTGGAGGGTACTAAAACACAAACAAACAGAGAGTGAAGCAAAGAAAAGTACAGCATAGGGCTAGTAGGGGCAGTGTCCCAAGAGGATGCAAAACCCTCCCTTGAACTGTAGGAAGGCTTTAAGAGCCTGTCGCTCATACCTCCCCATGCCTATCTGGCATTGCCTGAGAGGGAACGCCAGTACTCACTACTGTGGAGGTATAGGATGGCTAGTGTCCCAGTACTGTAGGCAGAAGGGGTGACCCAGCAGTATGCAGTATCTTGCCTCCCTGTTTGATATGCAGAGCCATGGCAGCAACAGACCAACTCTTTTTACCCATGTAGCCCCAAGCCCACCCATACAGGGCGAGGTGCTGTTTAACCTGGGTACCTTAACAGGCACAAGCCTCAACTAACCAGCACTCAGAGCAGCGGCTAACCCAGTGAAGCAGCATGCTGAATTAAAGAGGGCATGCCCCATCTAATGTTCACTCTTACAGTGGGAATACCCTCTGAAGGGGGTCCTCAGGGACAGGGTTCCCCTGAAATGGATCCGGTGCCATAAGCACAGCATAGGGAAACTTGCTAAATGAGTCCTAATTAGAAAAGTGAAGAAAAAAAGATCAGAACAGAGAGACAGCATCCATCACCCAAGGACATCAACAACAAAAAACTGAGGCAAGATGTAAGTGGGAGGGGCATACAGAGCTATCTTAACATCTTTGATTTGTCAGTGTCCAATCACCTAAAGTCAGCTGCATAACCTGTCCATTCAAGAATCAACTCCCTGTGTTCTGTGATGAACGATCAAGAAATGCGATTTTTATTGCTGCCTCTGTTCCCACTGTGGGGATTTTCACTCTGTTCCTGCTCTGTCAGAAAGGAAGAGGGAGATTTTCCCTCATTTCCCAATTACCTATTTCCTGTGTCCTTCAGCTCCATCTAGTGGCCATAAATGTGGTATCACAAGATGACATTCGAAGAAAAGATAACAGAATGTTCGTTTTGTGCATCCATTCACACAGAGTTAACATTCACGGAGATTCGCAGGGCCAAAGGCTGGGCAAAAAGTGTTTATAAATAGACCCCTTAGTGTACAGTATATGTTACCACTCTTTAATGCATCTCTCTATTTTGCAGGTAGGCTTTACATGTAAAGCTTTGCACAATACAAAAGTCTGCAACGAGGGTTGCTAATTTAAGAGGCTGGTTGCCACTGAAGGTTGCAAGTTGGATAAGTTGCAATGAATGCACATGTTCCTTTGTAAATAGGGAAAAATATACTGAAAAGAGTGTTTGCGGAACTGCATTCCAGCCAGATTAATAAGACGGGTAAATTTCAGCTTCTAGGATGTCTTTCCTAAACCTATCTGATCACCAAGGGGAAAGAAAAACTTGAATTGTGTAATGATTTAATGGCAAAGTAAGGTCACAGTTGACATGATTAAAGTGAAAAGATTACAAGAGGTGATTGGCATGCACATGTAATCCTCAAAAAGAAAAAAAAATCACTTTGTACACCACCACATGATCTCTAATGCCACTGGAGGCTTTAAAGTAATTAAGATGCTAGTCTGATATTAAGATGCTATTCTAGGGTTTGCAGTAGCTCATGTATTGTCACTTGTTGACAGCAACCAGAGCATGACAAAACTGTAGTTTTGATGTCACAAAAACAGGTCAGTGCCTCTTTATTCCAAGTTACAGATATGAATTACAAATAGCTTGAAAAATTGCCACAGGAAACCTTTGATACAAAATGGTTCGGTGCTCTTTGCAGACCTAAACAGCTTTTTTTCAGTTTTACACTTTCAATTGTAATTCCACTATTTCAGCCAAATCGGGATAATGCCTGCTTTAGAATTGTTATGTGTTCCCATACACGTAGAATTGCCGCTAACCTTTTTATTAGCTTAATTGTACATAGCTTTCTGTTCTATGTAATGTTGAAGAGGGGACTGGGGAGTTAGGTTTGCCATAAATGACCATCTGTACTGTGCTGGCAGAAATCGCTGGGATTTGAATTCCAATAGCTGCAGCACGTCACTGCTGTATAATGTGTGTGCACGGTCCTACTGTGACCGCAGACCTGCACTGCTGAATGGGAGACTGTGGAGGTGAAGGTCATGTGACCATTACAGGAGAATATTTACAGGTCAAAAAAAAATATGCAGTAAGGCCAGCAGTGAACAGTAAACAAATTAAGCCATTTAATTTGATCCTGGAATCAGGCTTTGAATAGAAACCGTGACCTTTCACATTCAGGGTAAGGTGGTAGTGTCTCTCTAGAGTCATCTCCAGCCACTTTATACTCCTTTTTCAGTGTTGCCCCCTAGCTCCATTCTCTGTCACAGTCCCCACCAAAATAGCCCATGTTGGAGCTCAGAGGGAACAGTGACGTCACCTCCTCCATCCTACAACATTATTTGGGTCTAGTACAGCTAATCAAGGCTCACAAATCGTACTCCACAGACTATGTGCCTTAAAGTGAGGAACACAAGGATTCATCTACACTGCAGATGCCATTGTAGTCAATTCTGCTCAACATAGGGCTAGTTCACACCAGCCGATTTTGGCCGGAAAGCACTGGATTGCATTCCAGCTGGCTCACTTTGTTTTGTGGCGGGAGGGGGTGTGGCAGCCCATTGAACTCAATGGCACCATAGCCACGCTCTCCAGCCGCAATACGATCAGCAGCACGGAAACACGCGGCACATTAGTGCCTGCGTTCTGGTGCAGTCAGAAAAAATAGTACACGCACTATTTATTCTGACTGCACCAGAACAGATGTGCCACACGTTCCCGTGCGGCCGGAGGGCGTGGCTGCGGTGCCATTGAATTCAATGCACCGCCACGGTCACTCCCGCCCCAAAACAAAGTGACCTGGCCGAAATGCAATCAAGTGCGTTCTGGCCACAATCGGGCCGGAACGCACCGAGGCTGGTGTGAACTAGCCCTGAATGTTGATAAACGTCTTGCAAAGGAATAACATACAGTTGAATTTTTCAAACTTTAATGCCTCATAGCAATGGACAATTGAATCATAACATTATTATCACTGCACTGAGCTAAAGCATGCCACATTCCATATGGTTTTGTTGCCTTGTTTAAAAATAAAAATAAAAATTAGCATCTCACCACACTGCTCTAAAGTACAAGTATGTGCTATTTTCTTGCTTTATTGTATTTTGAAAAATGTAATAAAATACTTTATTAAAAGTCCACTTAAAATATATAAATATATTTTCATGACAGAGCAGTATGAGAAAGTTAAGCAGAGCACCCACAGCCTGTTCCCTGCACAGGCTATGCACAGCACAGTGATATGGTAATATATGGGTTGTCAAAGCTATTTGGTGCACATTAAGCGGATTTATACTTTGTGGCTATTGAGGAATATATTTCAATTAAAGCTAAACTGCAGGCACACAAACGTTTATGACAGTGAAGGTCTTGGCTGCATACATCTGCAGCTGTAAAATTGGTGCTCTGCTTAACTTTCTCATACTGCTCTGTCATGTAAATATATTTATATATTTTAAGTGGACTTTTATCTTTCAAAGTATTTTATTACATTTTTCAAAATACAATAAAGCAAGAGAATAGCACATACTTTACTTTAGAGCAGTGTGTTGAGATGCTAAATTTAATTTTTTTTTTTTTAAACAAGACAACAAAATAGGTTGATAAACTTCTAATTGCGATGGTGTAAAGACTTACCGTATTTGCCGGCGTATAAGACACTTTTTATACTTAAAAGCATCCCCCGAAAATCGGGGGTCGTCTTATACTCGGGGTAAACAATGTGAGCCTTTAGTTCTTTTGGGCCAAGCTGGCCCAAAACGAACGTCCCTAATCTGTCAGCCCGCTGGATGTGCGGTAATACTGTATGTATGGTAGCTTCGGCTACATACAGTATACCGCGCTGAGCCAATCACGGTGAGAAATGTACACACCCTCTGCCAATCCGAACAGGCTTTGTATTCATTAATAGAATACATTGCTCGCCTTGATTGGCTCAGCGGGGTATACTGTATGTAGCCGAAGCTACATACAGTATACCGTGTACATCACTCTCGATGATTGGCTCAGCGCGGTATACTGTATGGAGCCGAAGCTACCGTACATACAGTATTACCGTACATCCAGTCGGCTGCTTAGTGGGTGTATTTAAACAAAATGGCC